TCATTTCTTAGACTCTCTCTCTCTCTCTCTCTCTCTCTCTCTCTCTCTCTCTCTATATATATATACACTGTATATATTCATTTTTGAGAGCAAGTAAAAACAAAAATGTCTTTCTCTAAATCACAGTGTCAGGCATGATCATAAACAACACCACAAACCAAACTGGCCTGCCGGAGGACTTTAGAATTGCTCTTCTGGTTTTATATATATTCATCTTTCTCGCTGGGACTCTGAATGTTGTACTAATGTCCTGTATGCTACAGTCTCAAAGATGTCTGTCTTTCACCAAAGTGTCTGTGATCAACCTGATAGCAGTGCACTCCTTTTTCCTTCTCACGGTGCCCTTTCGAATTTACTATTATGCTTCTGATGAAGACTGGATTCTGGGCATACATTTCTGCAAAATTGTCAGTCTTATGATTCATGCCCACATGTATCTTGCATTCATCTTCTATGTCTTCCTTCTAATTGTGCGCTATGTGGAGCACTCTGATCAGCAGCACAAGCTAGAGTTTCATCGCATCCTTCACGCCACGATTGCAAGTGCAACTGTCTGGTTGGTCATATTCGGCTCTATGTTCCCAGCAACTATTGCTAAATATGGAATGACACAGAACGATTCAACTCATTGCTTTCATTTTGGTCAGGCTCTCATGCAGCCTACTGTGAAGACATTAAACTATGTAATCTGTATACTAGTAATACTGGTTTGGAGTGTGCTGGCATTTTTCCAAGTTTATTTTCTGCTCAACGTGAGTAAGACATTTGGAAAGGCCACATGTCAACGTCAAGAGTTCTGGGCACAACTGAAGAACGTTGTTTTCCTGTTGGTCATGTTTTTTTGTTTTGTGCCCTATCAAGGATTCAGAGTTTATTATGTGAGGGAATATGGCAAGACTGAAGAAATTAATCATATAAATGAAGTATTACTTGCTGTCACTGCTTTCAGCTGCATTGATATGATTGCTTTTGCTGGTAGAGATGTATGCAAACTTATAAATTCAAGGGGATGGTTTTACTGTTTATAGAAACTATGTTGTATATTGTTATTGATATAGGGAATTGTTTTCCATTTTCTTATCTTTGTTTTTGATGCGTTTGTACCTTATAAGCTTAAAACAGTTGTTCAGCATGACAGAATGTTTGGAAATAACCCAGTGTTTTATTGATCTATAATGAAATTTGCATTAAATCATTTACTGTATTTGGATTTATTTACATTATATATGTGTTTTTTTGTTTGTTTTTTACTTTTTAGGTGTTCAGAGAAAACTTTTCCGCATTTATTTTTAAGTTTAAAGGCATAAAAATAGTGTGCAGATAGTATATTTCAAAAAAGAAAAAGAATATATATATATATATATATATATATATATATATAG